ATAGTGGTTGTGGGTATTAAACTATGTTATTATTTGACTGGTTGTATTTTATTTATCGGTATTCAAAATTGTCTGAAATAATTTTTTGAAATGAAAACCATTTATATACAATAATATCTGGTACATTTATAAGGATATTCAGAAATTTGATAGGAAGTTTATATGTTAACATATTAATTAATATAGAATTATCGGAAAACCTAGAGAAACCCAAGAGGTTGGACAGGCGATCCTATTCCTTGTCATGTACAAGCGGAGAGTCAAAACCATGCCACTTGTGTCGAAAACAGACCTTATGGTCTAAAGCACACACGTTAGACAATTTGACGGTCCAACCTATAATCTGGGGGAGGGGATGGTCGAATGGTTAGAGCTTGTGCATCGTATCATAATTTCTGTCATCTGGCATGGTTTCAATTACCTGATTGTAGGACACAATTGTCCGACCTCGTGGGTTTTCTTTGGGTCCTCTGGTTTCCTCCCACTGCTAGACACCCCTATGCACAAGCAACTTAAACCATATTTTAGTCCCGAAATGACCTGTTTTGTGTTGCGTCGGCGTTAAACCCCATTTCTATCTCTCTCTGTCTGTAAATGATTGAATGACAGATCATGTGTTAGTCTCAAAATAACCTAGTTTGTGTTGATGTTCAACCCTGTCTATATTGTATTCAGTGATCAGTATGGGGAAATCTATTGACTTGTTTTAGGCGTGGTACGTTTTTACAAGGAAAAATACCAGTCACTTCCTTATTAAATTTTAAACATATTTTAATTGACCAATCAATAAAAGACTACTGTCTTTATATGGGAAGTTGTGATTTTAAATTTAAACCACTCATATTCCACAATTCTGCCGAATCAATGAATCACTGAACAGAACACATTCATCTTTGTTTTGCCCTTGGCTAGGTACAAAGTACGGGAATGTTATAACGTATTGATGACTTAGGTTATAAATGAATTTGACTATTATTGGTTGAAATGTAGTATTACGATCATATCAAATATTAAAATTGATAATTCGTTAAAAATGCGGGGATTATTTTCGTTGCCAATGCATTTAGTAAGTAAATTTTATTTTTGGATAAATGATTTTAGATTGAGTTCTTAATCTGACGTTATATTATTGTTATTGTTTTTATCTTTAAGTTTTAAGTAAACTTTAAATATATATGGCTTGGTATATTTTTTGTATTTTGAGAGATATTAACAAAAAACAGCAATGAAATGATAGATTTCAATTTGCATTATTTTAGATATGAAATTGTCCTATTGGCGACTGTAAATTGGTTAAATTGAATAATTATTATCCTGAACCAAACAAAGGGTAGGATACTGAAATGGATCCCGTCCAAGATTTCGTCCAGGTTTTGTTTCCAGAAATATTGTCCAAAAACTAGTATCAGTGTAACATATGGGAATTGTGGCGCCATATAAAAAAGTTCGATAATTGATGCGAAATTGTCCAAGGAACAATCATGCCCTGTTTTATGTCGATTATGCTTGAGACTTAGGATTTTGTCAGAAGAGCATCGTCCCCAAGACAAAAAAACAAGATGAGTAGGGCTATGAACCAAGTTCCTGGTTCAAAAAGCATGATTAGGATCAGCAACTTGAACTTTGTGTGTTACTGAAATATGGAACAATATGAGATTTGAATCATATATACAATAACTGAAGGCTGGTTGGATGGCCGAATGGTTGGCACGTGTGTGCTGTATCATATGGTCTGTCATTGAGTAAACTGGTGGGGTTTCGATTCCCGGTTGTACGTGACAAGGTGTAGGGTCGCCTGTCCAACCTTATGGGTTTTCTCCGGTTCCTCTGGTTTTCTCCCACTGCTAAAGACCCTATGCGCAAGCGAATTATTGAAATAAAATTGAACCATATGTTAGTCCTGAAATCACCTAGATGGCCTGGCGCCTGGTACGTTCGGGCATTTTTATGCGCGAACTCTTAGTTTTTTTTTACTGGCATGCGCACGGTACTATTTCTTTTTCTTTTAACAAGTACCCAAATCGGGGATTTCGTGCGGAGGTAGTTCGGAGGTAAACAGTCTGTGAAGTACAACATTTGCCACTGTACCTGTGTATCGCTAATTATAAACCGAATGTGTGAAGACAGTTCATACATATCACTCAAAAATTTTTCAGTACAAACTCAGTTGATTCACGCTCGATTTGCTACTAAACAAACCCATCGGTTTATTTTCTCAACAGTGTGACCCGAAGTGACCGCGGATTTATTGACCTTGTATGAACTTATCCATAGCTATTTCCTTACACCGAGAGAAATTATCTAGTCTCGGTGAAAAGAACCATGGTCATCTGGTAGAAAATTACTTTTGTATTTTTTGGAACGGAAAACAGTGTTTTTAGAAGCAAACTAACCTGCCGCACATGAGGAAGTCATTATACTAATAATAAAAGGCGAGACCTCTTTTTGCGGCGCAGGCTTATCACTGAGTAGTAAACCGTCCACAAACAATAATATAGGAAGCCTAGTGACGAGTGTAGTACTGTAAGTAGGCTATAGACTATAGGTTTGAGTCGAGATTACTCGCTTTCAGTTTACTCTGTTTTTGCGATAACCAATTATGTGAGAAATACCATACTGACATTCGGTTTTTAAAAGTTGTACGCGAACTAAATGCGTTTGTTAGATACTGACAGAGCAGCCCCGAGTCGAACAATCGCCGCCCGAGCTGTCTTCGTCAGCTAGTTTCACAATATCGTGCAATAGGTGTATTAATGTGATTTTTAGGTTTAACCCCGCAAACAATGCCAAAATAGTGTTTTCACTGCTTACCGAAAACTGAAATTTAAAAAAAAAATTTTTATGAGGGTGACCCTCCCACACACTCCCTATCGAGCTGCCGCTCGGTCTGCGCAGCCTCATGCCTGGCACATACTGTCAACATTGTATATTTTCCCGTTTCCGCCCTTCCCCCCCACAATATATATTTCACGGCTACGTTGCGACGGTACCAGCATACCCAGTTGTTGACACCCATTACATCACTCCTGTCTAACAAATCATAAAGGTGTGGTGTTACGGTGGCGGCATAGTATTTCACCGCAACACCACAGCCACTCTAACCATTCATAATACATCTAACTATCCCTTTACAGCACTTCACTCCCTACACATTTCCCCTCGTCCTACTTTCCCAAACGTCAACAACACATCTCATACATCCAGTTCGCTGATTAACCCTTGTACCACGTCTACTGGTTTGTGTCGAGTGGACATTAAACCCCATTTCTCTCTCTCTCTATAATAACTGGAATTAATCTGTGTAATATTGATTGATTGATTTTAACTTTATATAATGGTATATAGTATTGATATAAACACATATTTATATGTATTGGTATATAATGATATACACATATGTGGACTTAACCAGTAATCAAATCAATAGAAAATCTGGTTTTAGTTATTGACATTGTTGTTTCGCAAAATAATCACATTTTATCAGGTGATCCTTACCTAGTTTCCGTCTTCATTAGCCCAGTTGGTGCAGAACAGTAGGATGTTAAACCCAGTTTCATTTTATTTCCTTGCATAGTTATTGGAATATTCTAGTTGTTCCTGACACTGCATGTGTGGGAAATTGCTTTATTTAATGTCAGTTTCCATCAAGGTATATCACTGACACTGCAAGTTCTGATTAGCATGTAGGATGTTAAACCCAATTTCTTTTCATATGATTGAACACCTGTGATCTGTTCCTGACAGTTTTTGCCTCCATAAGTCAAAAGTTCTCAATAGAAACAGGTAGCCAATGAAGAATGGCTTTCAAATTTTCATTGTAGATATAAGAAAAGAAAATGTAAATTTATTATAAGTAAATAAAATTATAATATTCAACTCGACAACACCAGGTTGAAATCTATAGAGTGAGAATAATGAAATGTGTTGGTTAGGACCGATTCTAGGATTACTCAGGTTTAAAGTTGTTGATTTTGGATTTTTTGGCGGCAATACTAAAGCTTTTCGATGTAAACAACAAGTTATGGTTTGTAGTGTTTGTGTGTTGTTTGACATTCAGCCCTGGAAATAACGCTAATAGTCTGGCACAACAGAACTGGGTTGTTGTTGATGTTGTTTATTACAAATTTAACGTCCAATACATTCTGATATGATATTATGAATCAGTTAAGCCTATACATGTACATGTATGTTACCCAAACTGTGATCCGACGTACCTGACATTTTAAATTAATAATATCGCTAAAGAAAAAAAAACAAATTGGTGCTGGATAAATTGGGGATTGTGTCTGACAATGTCTGTGACAGATGCCTTATTTCCAGGCTTTTAAAGTAGAATAATTTGTGTGGTTTCTGTACATAGAACTATTTTCTGTATCATCATGATGAAATGGATATCAGTGAAGGTATTCATACACTTCATACACTTCTAGTCTAATGAATTCATCAAAAATGCAATTTAAATGGGGTTTAGCGTCTTTCTTGTCTGCAACAAAAGGACTAATGAAGACAGTGCAGTATGATAGAAGTTTTTCGATTTCCATCTTTCAGGGAATGTTTAATGTATAGTATAAATAGAACTATGGTGTTGTGTACTAAACCCAGGGTTTCCTGTAATGTGCGACCAATGATATAAATAGAACCTTGGTTTTGCGTACCAAACCCAGGGTCTCCTGTAACATGCGACCAATGATATAAATAGAACCTTGTTTTTGCGTACCATACCCAGGGTCTCCTGCTTAGGTAGCCTGCGTCTTATTCTACATAAAGATGCACTGTCACATATTCTATTCAAAAAAACAGACAGAGAACAGAAGGATTAATGGCAGTGGTGTAGCTAGAGTTAGCCCCATGCGGGGAGATCACTGTGTATGCCACCACCCATTACCCCCTCTAAAAAGAAAAATTATTAAAATTATTATAAATGTAATATATTTGTATGTTTCTGAAAGCCTTGATAAAGAAATGTTTATTATAAAATGTAATTTATTTGTATATTTTAGAAGGAAAAGGAGAATAAGATAAAGACAACTCACCAGTTTGTTTCTGTGTGTTTCGGTAATAATACAGCATGTGACGTTTGCCATAAAACCATGGCTAACAAACCAGCTATAAGATGTGAAAGTAAGTCCACAAATTTTTTTATCACACATCAAACAAAAGTTGGGAGCCACAGTGGCTATGTGAGTAAGGCGCTGGCTCACTAACCAGGGGGTCCTGTGTTTGATCCCTGTGTCGGTGGAGAAAGTACCTTAGGATTTTCCAGTGTGGGTTTTCTTTGTCAGTGGTTTTGGAAGGCAGGCCTGGCAAGATATAATGCCTGGTCTTTCGGATAGGATGAAAAACCAACGTCCATGTACACGTTGGCGTGCATGTAAGAGAAATATGGCAGTTTGAATTCGATGAAGCGTGGGCAGAAACACAGATGTCTAGACACAAAATTTTCCTCATAGCACACTGCATGGCGTATACCCTTCTTCATTAGCCTCCTCGGTCCCAATTTTGTTTTAATTACAACAGTGTCAAAGATTGAAATTTTATTTGAAAGATTTGTATGAATTAAGAAAAAAAAGGATAATAGCTCAAGTAGCCAAGATTCATTGAAGGCTATTAATTTTATACCATTATGTCTAAAGTTATTCCGAGGTGACGTAAGGTTGTAGATATTTGTATTACGTATGTGTTGATATATATCTATGTAGGGTATATTAAAAATATAATTTTTCTTAAATTACATAGGATCCATTAATAGTACTAATATAGACTGTTATTTTTATAACATGAATAGGACATTAAATGAGTCATTGTCATAAATTTTATTGTCAAGTTAGTATATGTGTAGAAGTTATTTCGATTCCAATGGGAAAGGACCCCAAACTTATTATAATAATTTAAAGTTAATGGAAAGATTGTGTGTTGAGAAGAATATTGAAAGATTTAATAAGGTATATTGAAGTAGTTCTCACTCTGGGTTACATTTTTCCCCACATTATATAATCATATATTTTTTTTTAGATATCTTTTCATTTTTATTAGCAATTTTTATTTGTAAAAAAGATTCACCTGAGTTGAAAAAGTTATTGTCATTGTCATTTATTTATTACTAGGAATATGAGTTTATTAACATATCAAAGTATTTAACATAATAACAACTAAGAATAAAAAATAAACTCATAATTCCATCTTAAAACTTTGGTTGGGCTTAACAAAATCAGGAATAAATGGTCTTATTATTATTACTAAATATAGAATATTTATAAATACAGGTGACAATATGTATACTAGTATATATATATATATATATATTTGATAAAATAATTGGGAAATTCCAGGTGTGTTTATTTTGGGGTTGACCCAATGATTGGAGGGAGGGGCCGACAAACTGAGTAACAGAGATTAGGGCTGAAAGAAATAGTTACTATAAATAGAATATTTATGAATACAGGTCAGAATATGTATTGATAAACTAATTGGGAAATTCCAAGGGTGCTTATTTTTAGGGTTGACCCAATGAAATTATTTTATCCTACCTATCATATACTTTTCTAATTATTTCTGATTTATTTATTGTGTGTCATATATCATGTTTCGAGTTTATCACTGACTTTATCCGCCACATCTGGAAGCCATTGCCAAAATAACATGCATCTAGTTGGGAATATATCACTATAAATAACAAGTGACTAACTATAGCCGTACTACGTATACCCTACAGCTCCGGGGTGTATCATCACCTGATTTAACACACAACTTGTTTTCTTAGCACCAGTGACTTTTTGAAAAACCGATTTGATTAAATTTTTTGTGGTCGTAAGGTTGGTTGTTATTTCTGTCTAATTAACAGATTCTATAGCTATTTTGAGGTAAGCAGAATTGGCATGTTCAACTGGATGCTAATACCAGTACAGTTCATCTGTTGTTGTATTTATAACACTACTGAGAGAAAAGTATTTTGAGAGAGATTGGTTCAATTTTATTTTAGTAATTTGCTTGTGCATAGGAAACTGAAGGAATCTGTAGGATCCTACTCCTTGTATTTTAAGATAAATAATTTTTCAGTACATCTTCCAGTAATCTTCAAGAAGGTTTTATTGACTGTTTTCAAAAATGAAATTAATTCCCATTGAAATGTAACGAATGTGGTTATTTTGAAAAAACTTTCTCTAGCTGACTATTTATTGTCTGTTTTCCTTTTGAGTAAAGCCTGTATCATTATGGGCCCAGGATACTGGACACTTAGGGTTGGCAGCCGGATCCATTCACTTGATCTGATATATGCGTCTGTTGTTTATTGTTTGTCATATTTGTGTAGTTTGTGTCTTGTCTGCAGGTTTGTCTTCTGGATTTTGTTTGTGTGTAGGGCAGTCTTCCTGCACTTACTGTTAGGCACCGGAAGTTAAGTTTTAAACCCAGAACTCTTTTTCTGACTTAAACCCAGAACTTCTTTTCTGACTTAAACCCAGAACTTCTTTTCTGACTTAATGGTACCAATTTAACTGATATTTCTAGATTTCTTTTGACAAGTTCCATGGGTATCAGAAGGTACATTGTTTAACAGTTAAAGAGAGCAGTGGGGAAACCCGTCATAGCTGCATCACAGGCCTTGTTATTTAATATTTTTGTTGTTTATTTTTAGATTGTTTGATTAACGTACATGAGAATAATTGTAAAGATCAGATGCTGCCCTGTGATAAATATAGAATGGTCAAGGTAAGCCTTTATCATTACTTCATTACAAGTCTTATAGATAGATCTCCAGTCATGTACAAGTCTTATAGATAGATCTCCAGTCATGTACTAGTCTTATAGATAAATATCCAGTCATGTACAAGTCTTATAGATAGATCTCCAGTCTAGATCATGAATTATTTGCATCTGTCAATAAAGTTGATTTATTTTGAAATACATAACAAATATAATGTAATCTTTTATTCTGTTTGAATTGAATTGAAATAGAACAGCTTTATTAGAGATAACTAGTTCCACCCGTCTACATATTGTCATGCAAATAATGAATATGAGTAGGAGTTTGATGAAGTGAAGTCGAAACACAGCTGTCAGAACAAAATTCCTACCACTACCACTGACATTGTGCACATAACCAATGTAAATAAAGAGAACTGCTTGTTAATCTCAAGGGGAAAGGGGAGGGGTTAATGCATGCGCTTTAGATCATTATGTCTGTTATTGAATCAAATTGGAATTATTTCGATTCACTGCTTGTATGTTACAAGGATTAGGGTCATCTGTCCAACCTCATGGGTTTCCTCCCTCTGTTAAAGACACCTTTGCGCAAGAGAATTATTGAAATAAAACTGAACAATATGTTAGTCCCAAAATGACCTAGTTTTCTTGTCAGTTCTTAGTCTGTGATTAGTAGGACCATAATAAACGTTTGCACTAGGAATAACTAGAAACCAATTAGATTTTAATTATTTCTGATAATGACTGTTTTTAGTTCCCTGTAAAGGATCCCATTCCCTTTGTAGACGGCTCAGGCGACTTTGCATCTGTGGGTGTAAGTTGCCTTGCCTTGCAACCTATCTTTTGGAAATGACTTATTAATTCTTTGATAAGGTTAAGTACTAGGATTAATTGAGCACATGTATATCAAAAGTCGTATTGTGACCTTTAATTAAATCACCGCACTCACCCTAGTATATTTGTACTTTGTGTGTTTAAGTACAAGTTTTGAGTTCAAATTATGTTTATGAAAATATGTAATTTGAGTATAATGTCAAGTAGTTCAGGTAACCCATCTGTGAAGAGTGTTAAAAGTGTTGTTTTTATTTTGATATTTGAATTACATGTTACCAGGTTATAATATACCTGTACCTGATCACCTGTTCTGACAAAATATACTTAACCTGTAAGGTAATCGCACTCAGGTATATCTTCCATTTTAACTTCATTTAAACAAGTGGTATCGGCGCCAGATATTGTTTATGTTGGGTTTCACTTGAAATAATAAATTATTCTCATGAAGACTGTAATTCATTTAAAAGTGTCTAACATCATGGCAATTTAGTTCCGAATGATTTCTGTAATGAGGTGCGGGATGGCCGAATGGTTAACGCGTGCGAGTTGGATCACAAGGTCTGTCATTGAGTTATGTTGTGTGGTTTTGATTCCCTTTTTGTACATGACAAGGAGTAGGGTCACTTGTCCAACCCCATGCAACATATGTTAGTCCCAAAATGACCTTGTTTGTGTTGAGTGAATGTTAAATTCCATTTCTCTCTGTGTCTATAATGAGGTGGAACAGGTAGACCCCATGAAGTATGAAATGTCTATTTGACCTCTACGCCTTTTAATATCCTGCACTTAATGAAGTAATTGTTCAGGACGAAGGAAATGAAAAAACTGAGGTCCCGTGTACACATTGGTGTGCATGTAAAAGACCTCTTGACAATTGAAACTTAAAATATAAGAGTAGGTCGTAGTGCCACTGTCCAGTCAAAATTTCCTTCATGACATACAGCATGGTGTATGCTCGTCTTCATCAGTACAGTCAGTGTAGAAAAGTAGGAGTTAAACCCCATTTCATTTCATTTTCTGTGATCTTTATGACCTCAACTTTCATCATTATTGTCCCTATTGTTATCATAGTTTTGGTGGGAGTGGTTGAGTTGTGCGCTTTAGATCATATGGTCTGTCCTTGAATCAAGTGGCGTGGTTTTGACCTTTAGCTTGTGAGTGATTATGGTCACCTGCCCAACCTTGCAGGTTTTTTCTGGGTCCTCTCGGTTCCTACCACTTCCAAAGACCACTATGCACAAGAGAGTTGTTGAAATACAAGTCTATCATATGTTAGGTCTGGACTTAATTTGTGTTGAGTACTCTCTAGTGGGGAGGGGATGGCCGAATGTTGCGTGTGCACGGTTTATCATAAGGTCAACTGGCGTGGTTTCGATTCCCTGGTTGTTGTACGTGACAAGGAGTAGGGTAGCTTGTCCAACCTCGTGGGTTTTCTCCGAGTCCTCTGGTTTCCTCCCACTGCTAAAGAACCCCACACTCAAGCAAATTAGTGAAATAGAATTGAACCATGTCCATATGTTAATCCCGAAATGACCTAGTTTGTGTCAGTGGATTTTAAACCCCATTTTTCTCTCTCTCCTCTTACCATGTAGTATCTAGGACATAACATTTCTCTTTAATTCATTTTGTTACAGTGCACCTCACTGACTGCTTTCCTGGGTCACTTTGATATTTCAAGCTAAGTCATGGACATGGGTATTAATTTTGCTACAAATGTTTACAATAATTCTGTTGTAATAAAAATATTTAGAAATAGGATGGGATAATATATCCTGAAGATTACAATGTAGAAATATTTAGAATTAGGATGGGATGATGCACCTTATGATGGTAGTATAAGATCAATATCATCTTCCTACATTCATTGTACATAAATGTTTATCATATGTAAATATACCATATGTCCCAAAATGACCTGCTAAACTCTCTCTCTCTCTCTCAAAATTCCTAAAAGGCTGATTAATGGTGACAAACTACTTTAGCTTGCATAAACCTATAGATGCATTACTGATTGTAAGAGATATTTTTTGAATGTCAGATAATATTATGATGTATTTAAAAGTTTTGATTAATCACAACCATTGTATTAGAATTTTAAAATCACCCCATGTCACAAGTGATCTGGTATGTAATAAAACTAGGATTGTTTTACCAGATATTCAGTTATTGAAAGGTTACTGCTTGTAAGAGATAGTTATATTATATCAGCTAATATTATGATGTATTTATGAGTTAGATTAATCACAATCATTGTATTAAAATTTAAAAATAATGATCCATGTCACAAGTGATTATACAGTGAAACTAGGACCGTTTTGAATTATTTCGCCAGACATTCAGTTATTGAAAGAATTTTAAACATGTTAAAGAATTTAAAATGTACATACTTGGATAGAATAGTTGACCGACACATGTTTGACAAGTTTGAAAGGAATATTACTGCGTTGTGAGATTATAGGGAAGCAAGGTCACTCAGTGTGTAAGACATATTGTCTTATTGGACCTGGTACAGGTTCAGTCATGGTGTTGGCCGAGAAATTTCCTCGGGTTATCTTTTGTCCGTGGTGCAGGAAGGGGGAACTGGCAAGTAACAGTGTCTAGTCGTTCGGACGGGATGATAATCTAAGGTCCTGTGGTGTTTGCATGTAAAAGAGTATGTAGAAATGCATAATTCCCCTCATAGCACACTGTGTTGATTATGCCTCTGTCTTCATTAGCCCAGTTGGTGCAGATAAGTAGGATGTTAAACCCCATTTCATTTCATTTTGTATCTTCATTTGCCTCATTTGCATTGCACACATAAAAATAGATATACTGAAAATTACCATCTGTTAGTTTCAAAATGAACCTTTTCATTCTATTTGTTTGGTGACTTTATATTTGACTGGTGAAATAAATAATTTCAATAAGTTTCAAATATTGTCCTGAATGTGTATCAAGAACAGACTAAATAATGGACAGAATTTTCAAGTATCGTCCCCGGGTATATGTATGTAATTATTATGGTGTTGATATATTTATATTATAAGTGGACAGTATGTATTTATTACAGTTATAGTAGATAATGTATATAATATATATAACACCTGAGTAATTATCAGGTCATTGAGTATAGGTGTTTTTAAGTGTGTTGATATACAGTCCATACTGTTAAATAGGTCATCTGTATCTACCTGTAACTAATACTTGTGGAAGTCATGCTTTAATAAATTCAATATGTTTGATCATAAAATGAAATGAGGTTTAACACATTACTTTTCTACACCATTAGCACATAAAACATTACAAATGAAATGAAATGAGGTTTAATGTCATACTCTTCTGGGGGCGGGGGGAATGGGGGGTTGGATGGCCGAATGGTTAGCACGTGCACGCTGTATAAGGTCTGTTATTGAGTCAACTGGCGTGGTAGGGTTGCCTGTCCAACATCGTGGGTTTTCTCCGGATCCTCAAGTTTCCTCTCAATGCTATGCACAAGTGAATTATTGAAATAAAATTGGACCATGTGTTAGTCCTGAAATGACCTAGTTTGTGTTGAGTGGACGATAAACCCTCTCTCTCTTTACTGTTCTCCTACTGTGCTAATGAAGACGGGGTATATGCCATACAGTGTGCAATGAGGGAAATTTTGCCCAGACAGCGGCCCTTTGGCCTACTCTTATATTGAATTTCAACTGCCAAGGATCTTTTACGTGCACTCCGATGTGTATGAGGGTCCTCGTTTTTTCATCCCATCCAAACAACTAGACAACTCTCCATCCTGCAACGTGACAAGGAGTAGGGTCGCCTGTCCAACCTCGTGGGTTTTCTCCGGGTCCTCCAGTTTCCTCCCAGTGCTAAAGACCCCTACGCGCAAGCGAATTATTAAAATAAAATTAAACCATATGTTAGTCCCGAAATGACCTAGTTTGTGTCGAGTGGACGTTAAACCCCATTTCTCTCTTTCTCTCCATCCTGCACCACTGACAAGGGGGAACCATGCAGATGAACTTTCTCGGCCAACACCAGGAGTGAACCTGTGACCTCCAGAGTAACGAGCCAGCGTCTTACTCACTTAGCTACCGTGGCTCCATAAAACATTAAAAAATTAACTTAAAATATTAAAAAATTAGTGTATATACCTAGCTCTATGTGCATATAATAATAGAGTAGGGTTGCCTATCTAACCTGGT